ATTGGAGCACATACACATTGAAACGATAATAATCTTCAATCCCTCGAAATTTTATTATTAAATGCATTTTACGCCTGTACAATTCTTCAGTTTTACAAGTAGAAAATCTTTTACAAAGCATTAGATAGAAAGTTACGTCACATTATGCTTGGAGAAATTCACAATTTGCTTCATTTTATTTTGCTTGGGCTTAGGCTTGATAGTCAAATTATTGGTTTGATAAAAAAAAAATAGCAATTTATAAAGTAATTAACAAATGTAACAGACGCCAAGTGCAAGAACTGATTTATTGCTGGAGCTTTTAGCTCTTTGATTAATTTTTTTTATTGCATTTTATATTCCATGATACGTATATTTTCTATGTTCTGCAACATCCAGGCAATATTATACATGGTAGACATAAATTAGACATGATAGTCAATCCTACACATAATGTCCAATTTGATTTATGAAAGGTTCTCCCGTAGCCATACAAATGTACTATTTGGAGCACTTTATGGGGCAAAGGATAATTTGAGTGCGACGAGATAAAACTTCATGGTCTAGGGACCATATTCAGTTTGAGGGCCTACCAAACAATTTTATACCTATTTTTATTTTTATTTTATTTTCAAANTAAAATAGTTTGTCGGCCCAAAGTAGATGAGCCTTTATGAATATATCAAAACTGTTTTTAACTTTTAAGTATCAAAGTTAGTTGTGCGGGTGTTAGAAATGATGCGGTTAGTTACAAATTAAATAATAAAAATTGTTTTTTTTTTTTATGAAACAACAGATTTTATAACAAAAAACATATATAGATACAACTAGACATCAGACAGAACAAGTCAAGCAACCATTGAACTGAATCTAGCGAGAGGATTACACACTTAAGTGCATCCTAGAAATAGCCAAACTAACTCACCCACTACACCACAAACTAAACTAACGCTTCTACAAGAGAGAATCAAACTTCTAAAAATAAGAATAAAACAACATGCCAACACATCCAAAACAACATAAAAACAAATATAAACACATAATACTAGAATAAACCTTTCTCCCAACCGACAACAAACTGCGAAGCCACGAACACAACACCCAGAGAACACAACACCTAGAGACGACTGGCCACAGGGATAGGAACCCAGCCCGAATATAGCTCCAAAAACTCCAGAGGTGGATAACTCAGCTAATTGAAACCACACCAGACGGCCAGATTCTCCACCCGAGTGGATCACCCCAGACCAGCTACCGGAGGCCAGCTTCTCCTTTTCCCACACACCAACCAAGGACTGCGGACACCAAACATGACCCATAACCCACAACCCGCACTTGGCCCCACTTCCAAGCACCAGAGAAAAACAGGAAAAGAGAGAAAAGAAGAACCTATTGGCCCCGACCAACTCAAAGGAGACGGCTGGAGCCAGCCGCTCGACACCACGCGAGACCCGCCAGGACATAGTCGACCAACTAGAGCGGCGAAGCACTACATCACAGAGGGGTAGACGGGCTTTGAGCGACGAGCAACACATACCGGTGATGGCTGGTGTCGTGGTGTCGCAGAGAGTCCAGAAAGGGGGAGGCACCGGCGAAATTGAAGCTGGGGTTTTTTTATTTGCGATTTGTGGGAATCGCAGGGGAAAGAGAGAACTTGGCCTATATATTTTTGTACTTGTTAGATAATAAAAATTGTTATACTACAAAAGTATTGTATTCGATCACTGGGTTACTAAGAGAAAGCATGACCCATGTGCAAATTAAAGCGCAAAGGACGAAGGACCGGGCCCAAGGCACAAGATCCAGCTTGTGGACAACCCAAACATATGGGATTAGGATTGTAGATCACTCAATCGCTCCATCGATCACCCATGAAAGCTTCCCAAGGAACATTGACGATCACCTTTATTGTCTGAATCAAAATTGGCAAAACTGATAGTACCCCTCAATCTATCTCATCCAATTCTGAGTGGAAACAAGTGACACCACTCTACGCCCTTACCTGGCACTAAGAATTAATGAGTCATCACCTTTTTTGTCTATAAATACCAACCCCCGGGTTCCTCACAAAAAAAAAGGTCAATCACAATCATTACTATCATCATCTACACATCTGTTCTTCCCTACAATACATGATTGATATCCCAAAGATCAGATACAAAAATATTCTCATACTCGGTTGTATTCACTATACAAATTTCATAATAAAATTTTGTAGAAACCATTTTCTTGTCGATCGACACAGCCGATCGGCAATATAGGTGTCTTGTTTTCCTTTTACCCATATTTTATATCGATGTTTCAATATTATGTACCATTAAAATACACCATAAATATACTGTAACCCCCGATTAAACCGCCTTAAACATATTTTCATAAGGCTGGCGGTTGACAGTCAACATAATGGCGCTAGAGGAATGGGGTGTTAGGGTATACTGTAAAAGGTCGGCTTTCAGTTTCTGACAATACCATTTTGAATGAGAATTATGTTTTAGTCAAGTATGTGTGTTTGGAGTTTAATTATTTATTCGAACATAAGTTCATTTATTTTACACTATAGATAATATGATTCAATGTCGAACAGAAGGATCATATTAGCAATCACTTGGAAAATATAAATAAAATGATTCACAACCTAGGCGGAATTGAACTATCGGTTGTGAAAGGTTGTAGTGTAGTTTAGATTTACTTGATCTTTAACTGATTAATTACAATAGTACACTTTAGGAGTATTGAATGGACCTACGAGGATAAGATTATTTTATTCTGACCAAGTAAATAATCTAGACCTCAGTAATTGATCTGTTCTCTTAACCCGGAAGACAATAAACGTGCATATGTACTCAATATTTATTTGTTTGATTTACCAAGGGTGATTCATAGTTTAATTAGAATGACATACTCGGTATTTTGGTAAATAGTATTATTTACATGATGTACGGTTACAATTATTTACGGTCACTATGTTCCAGTTCGTTGGGTTGATGACGTCCTTGAAATGAGCTCAGGAAGGATTTATTATGTTAAGCCCTGCAGGCAGATTAATTTCCAACATGAACCGCCGCAACCAGCCGCAGCAGCCCAGGCGACCGCCGCGACCAGCCGCAGCAATTCAGGCAACACCCGGTGATGCTCGTGTAGCCCCTGCGACGCCACAAAACCCAGGCGTGCCCAACGTTCCTAAAACCCACATGTCGTGACGATCCAGCTCCCAGGCGACGCGCATGACCCACGAAGTTCTTGGTCTCTGACGAGCACGCAAGCAGGCAGCGCGCGCACGCAAGCACGTCAGCGTCTGACGTGCACGAGTTCCCTGCAACACCAAACGCACGCAAATACCCAACGTCAGTGAGACAGCCCGACGCACACGACCCGCGAGCAGCGGCCGACGCGCACGACCTGCAGGCAGTGGTCGACGCGCACGAGTTCGAGGCAGCGCTTGACGCGCGACATGAACAGCGTGACCCGACACTCCCACCACATCCTAGAGACCCGGAATTAATTGATGAAGTCTAGTCCGGCTGCCCAACGGACTCTGCGGTTCAGACGATCATCTATAGAGGAAATATACAATGTCTCAGAGTCGGCAAAAAAATTAAACTGTAAGTCCTAGTCCTAATTATAGATTCCGCTGCGTTAGGATTTAATTCGTTAGATTCGGATGTGTATATCGATGACGTTCTTGATAGAAAACAACACGGGGGCCATCAAGGATTACATCTGAACCTCACTCCTATATAAAGTCGTTCCCTGATAAGGTTTTGTCACACACTTCCCCTCGAGTCTTCTTCATACATCCTTATCGGATGATAGGCAGCACAACCGACCCTCTCTTTTCTATCATCGGCTGGATGAATGGGCGACTCACTTGACCTCTCTACTTCTGATTACCCTGTTACTTTGTCGAATTTCCTTTAAAGTATCAAAACATTTGTTTTTTTTCTCCTCTCCAACACAAAAATATCAGATCTATACTTTTGGGGCAAACCCTTATATTAGCCCATATTCGATAAGAATACGGATCAACTAGTCCACCTTTGACAAGAACAAGAGGGTGGACGGTTCATCGATCCTCGAGTAATCACGGCCCTCTCAAGGCTGGAGTCATTAGGAAGGATCATACGAAAATGTCCTTATGACCAGGTCATCTTCTTAGGCCCAAAAAATCTCAACCCAACTGTAAACCTCATAATTGTTGGGCGATCACTAACAAATTCTTAATCATGATCGCTCGATCACCGAGTTGGATTGGTGTTGAAAAATCGGGGGCCAAACCAGGAAATGACCTGCGGAGTAAACCTCATCCGCACGTCGAGATAGCTAGCCTATCATGGTCAGCCAAGACCATAAGCCACCCTCATTATCAACAGCAGTCTGGTAGATCGACACAAACACATCTGATCTATGCGGTGATTCTCCCAGGGATATTTCAGTAAAATATCATCCCATGGCAAGAGCATCACACGTAAATTTTCGGCACAACATCTTTCTGTTGAAGAACGACATGTTGATCAGCCTTCATTTCTGCACACAGACAGCCAAACTGATCTACAACATTGACATCATAGAACAACAAAAGAGGTTTTCCTATCATGCATATCTAGATTACCAAATTTTTATACCAGATATGTATAGGGTCGGTAAAGTTACACACGTTCAAACTGCTAGCCTTGTGACACTTTTCATATATAAATGTACTCTTTCTTCTTTTATACGATAGCCGCCCTTGTATTATATATGCGATCGTCGCACTGTAATATCTCGATGAAATCGCTAATTTTTTATTGTCGTATATAAAATTCCAAAAGAAAGCTATGATATCGCGATATCTTAAGCAAGAGAAGAACATGCACGAGGCAGACGTCCAATCAACATCTGACTTTACCCGACGACCTCGACACTAAGTAGGTATACACTGACCAATTAACAAAAAATCAATCTCCGAAAAAGTACTTCGGCTCATAGAGTCTACTTTTCTTACAAGATAAAGAAGATCTCTACGAAAATACTTTGGCGTGATAAGAATATCTTTCTTACAAGATAAAAGGGGATCTCCACAAAAGTGTTTCTGTCAGTCAACGATGAGAGTCACCGATCATCAGTCGCCTCTCAACATCTAATCATCGATCTTCTGTACACGATCTCCCTTACACATATATTGATCACCAAAGCAACTTTCAGTGAACGAAGGCGAGGCCTTACAACATACGATGGCAAACCACTAATCGCCTTATAAAACAATGACGACCACCTCTCAGTTATATGAATACGCCTTTGGCAGTCAACCCGTGACAATCATCACTAAAGGAAGAAAACAACCAAAGGAAACTACAAGGACTTTAATCAATTACTCCAGAGTATTTTCTCTTTAGATTGCTGATTTTAAAGTCACAAATGTCCCTATGGTCTACTTTTTTACATTTTCAATTCACGACCACTCGAGGGTATTCTCGGCCCTTCCTTTCCAGAGAAATTTTGAAATTATTTACCTTTGTTGATTCCAAGTTTTATGGTCCAATCGGCACAACGACATGTTGGGATCTGTGAGGATCTCGTTATGTACAAATCACGAATTCAATAGCAAACGTAAACCTATGCGCAGCGGATCTAAAGGTTTGACGTAGAGAACTTACGGCTTAAAATTTATGTAGATCTGGTTGACCACGAACGGTTGACCGCAATTGATTGACCGCAACACGCGTCTTGGGTTGCACGAACAAGATCAGATCAAAACTGGATCAAACGGATGCAAACAGATCAAAACGAAATTTTGCTGCC